GAGATGTAGATGAGTTGTAGTGAAGAGCTCCATACATATCATGATGAAACAATTATTCTGTTTTTCATTAAAACTCCAACTAATGTCAAACGATTTTGCACAAATTTTAAATTTTAGAAAACACAAACTTAATAGGTATTGATTCTTTTTTATTTAGATAATATTGTGAAAATAATTTCATGAAAATATTTTTCTGAAAATAACAAATTAAAAACAAATGAAGATTTCTTATGGAGTGTGAAATATGTAAGTGCATTAATATGACTGTAATCATGTTTGTTTATGAATTGATATTTTTATGTACTGAACTGTATACTGCTACTGATAATCATAATAGTAGTAATGATAATACTCGCTTTATTCACTACTATTTATTTGACTATAGTAAAACATTCTCAGCGTTAAATATTCAACAATCCTACAATATCCTCCTTCTAGAAGTATTTTACTTGTAATTATTTGTTAGGGACGTTCGATGCCCAGAACTCACTTGATAAAGGTCCTAATTTTGGATTTTCTGTGTTTTCGCGCATGAGTTGATCAGTTGACCTTGAGGTTACACTTCCCACTCGGAAGATTATTGATTGATGTGTTATTTTAGTACGCTATTTTTGTGTCTCTCTCAAGGTCGTTTCTATCATGTATAAATAGACTCGATTTGTGTGCTTGTCGGACCTCTCTCTCCATTGATGTTTAATTTTATCATAGACATGCTCCTAGAAATAACCTTATCCTCGTCTGAATTTTCAGGAGTAGACCTTCTACCAGGTGGCTCGCTTATTGACTTAGAATATGCCGATGACATTGTCCTACTTGGTGAAGACGCTGACAGAATGCAGAGTCTTCTGACTACCCTGAGCAACAATGCAAGCATGTTCGGGATGCGGTTTTCCCCCTCGAAATGCAAAATGTTGCTTCAAGACTGGGTTGCATCGGCACCTGAACTAGTGATAGGGATGGAAGTAGTCGAACGTGTTGACCACTTCACTTATCTTGGGAGTCTCATCAGTGCTGATGGCCTGGTGACTGACGAAATCTCGGCACGGATACAGAAGGCTCGGTTGGCTTTTGCCAACCTGCATCACTTATGGCGTAGGCGAGATATCCGTTTGCTGACTAAAGGACGAGTGTACTGCGCAGCAGCTCGTTTCGTTCTCTTATATGGCTGTGAAACATGGTCAGTCAGAGTAGAAGATATTTGTAGGTTACTGGTTTTCGATCATAGGTGTCTTCGAAGCATTGCTAGTGTATCGTGGGACAACCGAGTGATCAACGCTGTTATTAGGAAACGGGTGCTAGGTAAGAATGGCAGATCAATAGATGAAGTACTGAAACTTCATCAGTTGAGGTGGTTGGGACATGTGCTGCGTATGCCTAAACACCGACTTCCTCGATGAGTTATGTTTTGTGGTGTAGGAATAGGTTGGAAGAAAGTTAGGGGCGGCCAAACCAAAACATGGCAGAAATCCATGAAGTCACTGACAAGTGGACTGAGTCATGTTGGTAGATGTAGGCTACCTGGTTGGGGTCCGCGAGACGAAATTCATCAATGGTTAGAGACCTTGAACGACATGGCTGGGAATCGTTTGCAATGGCGCAGGTTCATCCACTCTTTGTGTTCTCTTAAATTCTCACCTCCTGAATTCCTCATCATTTCTATCTTTCTCTTTCTAAAGTTATTTCATTGAATTACACTTCTTGAATAATTTCTTCGAACCCTAATCTTCTCCATTACTGATAATACTTCTACTACCTCATCCACTATGGGATTTGAATTGACAACTACATTTCTGTGCTAATGTGGTATGGCAACCTGATTTTATGTACTCATATACGAAGTTCTACATTGTAACTGACTGACTGACTGTTTAATCTTTTCGTGTGCGCTGATCAAATTCTTTCGATTAATAGTGACGAGTATTTAATTGCGACAAAACTACTAGTTAATGACCATAATTCATAATTAAATGTTTAGAATTATAATTACGAACTGTTACGGTCAAGTCTAAAATCGCAGTCGCATTGTATTCATTGTAAAAAATCTAAGTTACCGTTTCTGATCTCAAACAGAAATAAGCACTTCCACAATACGGACTGATATTCAGTTGAACAGTCAGTGAAGTGAATCAGGGACCAGTGGATAGCTTTTTGGTCGTAGAATGATGCTGTTCAGCCAAGACTTGATTTTAAGGCCTCTAAGCCATGGGGTGAGCCCTTAACCTTCAGATCAGAGAGTTGGTATCCAAGGTGTCTATATTTTCAAGGTCAACCAGTTAGTAATATTGATTGACTACCGTTGATTTTCAATCGTGTGATATGCCCAATGCATAACTCATTTGAACGATTCTGATCACAGCTTCTCATCATAACTCAAGAAATTACCTGTCTAAGTTAGTAACGAAGTTTACAACAAATTAAATCAAGTTAGAAATACAAACCATTGAACATGAACTAAACATCCTGACGTTTAAGTGCTCACCTGGAAGTATAACAGTATTAGTCGTTAGAGTGCGCTGTTGAAGAGCCCGAGGAAACAGTTTTACAATGTTCCCTGTTCCTCAGTAGTTCCTTAAACTAATTCGTTTAGTTACAAAGATCGTATACATGAAGATCTAATGATGTTTTAGACTTCATAATGAATTGTACGTAATTTTCTTGAAATAATACTCTTAATATGCAGTTAGTTCAAAATTTCTTCGTGACATCGTGTAACGGCTATGATGAAATGTTTTATCCATTTAGCTGTTTAAACAAGAAATCATTTTACTAGGATAGATGGATAGTGACTACTAGCGGAATCTAAGACTCGTGTTTTGTCCTGCTTGGGACTCTTCTACTGAAGATACCTACATCTAAGAGTTGACGTTCACTTCAAGACTCAAACCCAGTACCTTTTGCTTGAAACATTATCGAGTTATTCACTTAGCTATTGAGTTCAGATGAGACTTGGTATCCTGGATTCCGCTGCTAGCCACTGTCCATTTATGGTTATAACGCCTTTGATCTAACAGCAATATGCAGGCAGTCTGCAAAGGATGAATGAAATTGACAGTGACAGTGACACTGTTGGATTCAGACTCAGTGATTTAGATGTTAAGAGTTTCGATGAAAGATTGAGAGTTTAGTACTTGATTGTAGCATATGTGGTTATGTATTCTCATTGCTGATGAGTTCCATACTAGAACGAAATGGTTATCTAGTGTTTCGGGGTTTTTAATGTTTATTGGTTCATGATTTCAATGAAACTCGACAATCTTTATGACCTTATACTGAAAATTCTATTTGCTTGCTTATGGATTGTACTTCAAAATAGTTTGATAATGATAAGATGTGATGAATATGGATGAATTTGAAGTTTGACGTCATGGACTGGAATCAATGAACAGCTATTTTGTTCAAGAGGACGTTTGCAACTACAAACTCTCTTTGAATTCACCTAAAGAGCATTACGCCTAATGGTTGAATATTTGACCTTATTAAAACTACTTTCACTGATTAAACTTCACTAATAATATTTTTTAACTAGAACCTACGAAGTTATCTAGCAAACTGTTAGGATATTTACCGAATATCCTAAGAGGATTATTTATAAGTCTAATTCTATTGGTCAATTCCTATTAATCGTCCTAACTATCAAAGACGCATACTTCAGGTGTTGTTTCCTATTCGACCTAACTGTATAAATATGCATTATCTGTAAAGTTTTATGACCCGGATCCTTAGTCTTTTCTGGGTTCGGACTTCATACTCTCTGGATGTTTGTAGAATACACTGTCTACTTCATATCAAGTCTTTTTCTTCAATTCAATGGGGGTTTGGGACG